TAAAAGACATTGCTAGTTATCAAAAATGCCAAGTGGCAGTTGTTACTGCCGGACAGATGTTAAGTTTACACCTTCATATCCAGTAGAAAAAGGTTGGTTTGGAAAGTGTTTTTTACCTTAACTGAAATTAATATTTGCATGATGCATTTTGTAGGGGTTCTAGGTATTTTTGTCTGGTATAAAAATGTGTTAGATGATCAGCAACATGTTAGATAAGAATAGATGTGGCTAAAATAAGAAAACAGAAGGAATATAAGAAATCAATTTGAAACTAAACTGTTCTTTCATAGCACTATACTGTCTAGTGTCTAAGCCTGAGCTGTAAAAATGCAGGTATTTAATTAAGTTTCTGCTTTGGCAAGTATTTTTGTCATTATTGACTCACATTATTGACAAATAATCAAATAAGTTTTTAATTTGCAAAATGTTAGACATCCTAGCAATTGAATTATGATTGTAAAGTGCATCAAGAAAGTTTTTGAAAGAACATACTGCTCGTTATATTTGTTCATACAGTCTGCTGTACTCCCTCAGGATTAAGTACGTAACCACAGTGACTGAGTCTAATACAGTGAATACAGTCTAATGTGTCTGCTTTCAATTCCTGCTGTATATTGTGTACAGGAGCAGGAAGTTTGAAAGAGACAAATGCATCTCGTCAATGTGTGGTTACTATATTGGATTGTCCTGCGCAATTTCCCAGATGGAAACATTTCAGTTTGAGGGTTTTCAGGCTGTGTGAAAAGCTATTTGCATCTGCCACTGTCTGCCCATATGATCTGAGAGCCTGGCGTCTGGAAGATCCTTCTGCAGCCATGACTTGATGAAACACATTATATTGCAATCCTGATACTCTTTCTGAACCTATCTCAGCAGTCTTCTCTCATCCATTTTATTTGCTGGGCTTGTCACATTCAACCATAAAGTGAACAAATGTTATAAACTTCCTCCTAGAAGCAGCCTATGTTGCTCGGGCCCCTAAATCTGACGTGTGTTCTATTATGCTTTTCAGGGCTTTAGCTTCTTACTAGGGTATTAACCCTGTTTTGCAACAGCAGCTCAATGAGCTTCTATAAACTAATGAAAGTGTGAACATCCAAATAATAAAAGGGAAATCCTCATTCACAGATTAAAAATCAAACTTTGTTGATATACATACTCTTCTAATGACTTTCAGGAATTTGCCCTGCTACCGGAGGGTTGTCAGTTCAAGCCCAGGCTCCAACTTTCAATAACCTTTCAAGGTTATTGTGTCCTTTGGCATTTCCTACTGATTGTGATCAGAGGGCCCGGTGGCACCTGTGTACGGCAGGGCAGGGCAGCTGCGGCTATGACGTAGCTTCACATAATCAGTTTGTGATTGCATGAATGGGGGATGGATTGAATGTAGTTTAAAGGGCTTTGGTCAAGTCTCCTGACTTGAAAAAGTGCTATATAATTAAAGATCATTTATCATATTGCGTACACTTACCCTAACCTTACTGGCACATACCTAACCCTAAACGTAACCTAAAATCAATTCACACCTTCTCCTTAAATGGACAGCACCTTACACCCCTGCAGACTGTAGAGGAGCTGAGCAAATCCTTTAGTAACACACTTATACACCCTATGTGTAAAAAGGAGCGCTACCACATGTAATTCATCCCTGCTGCTATCAGACCTTACAATACACTGCACTATAACATGGTTTTATAACTCTAATAACTTATTTATCTATTTAACAAACCATAAAACCACACTTTACCTGCCAGCACTGTACTGTACATAAAATATCAACATATTCTTATGAGGTGCCCCCAGGGACATAAATCAGAATTAACTTGCATATACACATATTAAATTACACTCTTCCATATAATATACT